GATGGCATTTTCACTCTTAAACATCTAATCAAAAAAAGGCTAGAAAGGGGAAGGACGGTCCACTTGATATTTATTGATCTACAGAAGGCATACGATACAGTCCCACTAAGTAAGTTGTGGGTGTCAATGCAAAATTTTGGTATCAGTAGTTGGTATGTCCAAGCAACAAGAAAATTATACGAGGGTTGCAGTAGCACAGTTAAACTTGGAAACAATATTTCCCAAGAACTTCTTGTGAATAAGGGCTTAAGACAAGCGTGTTCATTAGCACCAACTTTATTTAAAGTATATTTGGAGGAAGTACTAAAGTGCTGGAAGATGAAATACCGTGGAATGGGAATCCCAGTAGGAAAAGACACTTTTTATACCTTACTCTTTGCCGACGACCAGGTCTTAATAGCGGGAGACAGAGACAACTCCAGTTATATGTTTAGAAAACTCCATGAGGAATATTTGAAATGGGGCCTAACAATAAACACAAAGAAGATATGCAGTACATGGTAGTGGGTGATGACGAACGTGAGGATTGGGATGTAAGAATCGGTACAATTAAAAATGTCTGTACGTTTAAATACTTGGGCGTCACTTTTACAACAAATGGAAAAAGCAATCAAGATATTGCACATAAAGTTGGTCAAGGAAAAAGAGTTATCGGTCAACTTAACTCGTTGTAGTGGAGTGACAAAATTTCCCAAAAAAACAAAAATTCTACTATATAAAGCCATTGTAGAGAGCATTACCACTTATGGCGCTGAAACGTGAGAGCTAAACAAAGTAGAGAAAAATAAGTTGCTGTCTCTTGAAATGGATTTTTGGCGAAGAAGTTGTCGCATTTGAAGACTAGAACACTTCTCAAATCAAAGAATACGAGAAATTATAGGAGAAAAAGAAACTATTCTCGACGCCATTGACAGCAAAATACAAAGTTGGTACGGATACCTCCAACGAATGGATGATAACCGATGGCCAAAAAAAAATAATTCATGGACACCAAGCGAAAGGCGGAAACATGGAGACACAGACCACCTCGAAGATGGAAGCAGGGCGTAGTTGACACTATGAATTCAAGGGGCCTTCAGGAAGAAGACTGGACAGACAGAAATCTGTGGAAGTTGAGAAGCGGGAGACGACGAATGTCGTAAAAATCCGCAATTTTTTATACAACAACTCTCAAATCCATTGCACCCTATCATTCCAGATCGTTAGTGCTACAAGTACCACAAGATACAGACAAAAAAACTCTCACTTCATCACTATAGTTATTAAATTTAAAAATGTTTATACTTAAAAATGTATGACATTAACACACAGCTATATTAAATAAAATAATTTCACTTCCAAGAATGACCTTCAAAACACCAGATACATCTATTATAATATTCTTAATCTTATAACCACAACAATCGAACTTCATTTACAAAAATAAAAACGCATTATTATGCATATTACTGCAATTAGATTTCTGCTTTTCTGAAGCGATATTAAACGATTAAGAATTTGAAAATTTCTAGTCTATTCACATTTAGAAGAAATCAAATTATTCACATAATCTCAAACTGGAATTTTCACCGCTTTTTATACAATCTGATTCAGAAAAAATGTAGAAATTCTTTTCTGAAAACATTAATAAATTTACAGGAAATTGATTTGTCATTGATGAATCTCACTGACGACCATACTTCGGTTTTTTCATTGCAATCTACACATTTATGTGGTAATAACTTTATTGAAAACCTGTTTATTTATTTATTTTGAATATTCATACATAAATAAATTAATTATCTAATGTGAATAGAAGTATTTTATTAATATAAAGTTTATATTGATATAATCTTATTTGTTTTGTGTATTATTTAAGATTAAAAAAACTAAACAGGGTGTATTGTATTTTTAAATAACTGTATTACTGTTTAATATTAATAAAACAGAATATTAGTTTTACTGTTTACAGATTTTTTAAACGATATACAGGGTGGTCCGAACTGTATTCCGGAAACTTCGGCAGCATATTCTGCAGATGAAAATAAGTAAAAAATTCAACTGCATATCCTAAAATGCTTAGTTTCAGAGATACAGGGTGTAGAAGTGTCAGTTTTATTTCGATTTTTTACAAATAATTTTTGAAGAAACATCAATATTTGGATGAAAATTGGTCTCTGGGATTTTTTTGACATGAGAAATTTGATTTTGATGTCAATATGACTCCTACTTGTAGAGGGCGCCACCTACATATTTTTTAACTGGTTTGAACAGTACTAACTTTTCTTCCGAACCTGTATAAAATTACTGAGTACAGAGATAAAATTACTGAGTACAAAAATATACATTTACGACGATTTTTGCGTAAAAAAGGTCTCTTGGTAAAAATCGCTACGAGTAATGATTTTCGAGATATTTGGAATCAAAATTATCAATACCTGTCATCTTTGACATAAATAATTAAACATGTTTTATCAAAAAATGTATGATTAATTTAAAAAAAATAAAAAGTTCCCAAATTTATTATTTCAGTCAAATAACTATCTACTCAACATGCTTATTTTTTGTCAATAATGACATGTATTGACTATTTCCATTCTAAATATTTTGAGAACGGTTGCTCGTAGCGATTTTTACCAAGATACATTTATTACGTAAAAAATCAGGGAAATTTATATTTATCACATTAAATCATTCAGTAGTATTATACAGAACGGGGGCGAAAAGTTATTACTCTTCCAAACAGTTAAAACACATGTAGATAGCGCCCCCTACAAACAGAAGTGATATTGACACCAAAATCAAATTTCTCAGACACCAGTTTTCATCCAAATATTGACGTTACTTCAGAAGTTATTTGGAAACATTCAAAATAAAAATGAAACTTCTACACCCTGTATTTCCAAAACTAAGCATTTTAGACCGAACTTTTTTACTTATTTTTATCTGCAGAATATGCTGCCGAAGTTTCAGGAATACAGTTCGGACCACCCTATATACAAATTCAATTAAATAAATTTGTTATATCCTAAAGAAAAAAATAGAGTGGATACGACAAAAGACCTAGGTAATAGATATCGTTCACAGAATCAAATCCCTCAATGAGAGCGGACAACAGATGAACCACAAAAATTACAGCATTGTACCACAAACATTGTAATCACGAGGAATTAAGAGACCTAGAAGAAGACCAAACCTAAGATGGGACCATGACCTTAGAATATTAGCAGGGATAAGCTAGAGGGAGGAGGGAGACTACACCATGAGTTCCACAATTATTGGAAATGGTTGGATAAGCTGGAAGTGATGATCATTTTTCTTTAAATACTCAACTTTATATTTTGCTATTAAAATCTTTTTAAAATTATTATCATGGATATATTTGATCTGATGCTTGTTATTAAAGGTTATTATTGTTATCTACACAATAAAATACAAACGAGTGATAAGTAGATACATTTTTGGCGCTAAAATATACACTTAACTTCAAAATCTAAACGATGAATAAAGTACGCTTAAATGACTAATAATAAGAACCAATCATTTCATTCAAGTATGATGGTTAAACGCCTAGATATACGACTATAACAAATAATTTGTTTTCCATTTTCCTGTTTGTTTGTTATCGGAGTATATAGTTGTTTAAACTACGCGATAATGAACGATATGATTCATTTGTATGATTAATTCAATATTTACTTAAATATTTAGTGTAACAGGTAGAATATAATAAATGCTTTCTGGTACTCTCGTTTAGTAATAACATTGTGTTTTTTGTAATTAAGTTATAATCAGATTTTTCCAGCTACGTATTTTTGTTATATTTTCGGTAACAGGTTCTTCGATTAAGTAACAATACTTTTTTACCTAAATTATTATTATTGAGTTATTGAAAAAAGTTTAAACGGTAGAATATCCAATACTTGCAATTGCAAAAATCATCAATATTAAATGACGATTGCCGAATGACATTGAATAACGAAAAATGTCAAAAGGTAATGCAAATTTTGAAAAATATACAGTGCCATTCCATTGTTTTTTCATACGTAAAAAAATTATGTTAATTTTTGCCATAACATTTTAAGTAAAAATTAGAAATAACTTTTCTTAAAAAACACTCTGTGTTTGCAGTGACAGTTCCTAAGTAAGTGTACAGGGTGGTCGAAATTGGTCAGTTTTCAGAGAAAACTATTTCCTGACTAGATAGAGCAAACTGACATAATATATTCAATATCAATTAAACTTTTAGTTACGTAATCGAAGGCGCGATTTTTAAATTCATTGTTGCCAACAATGGATATATTCGGCGCCGAGCTGACTAACTGGAATTTAAATTTCCCGCTGGGGATTCAGGTGGTAGGTAGGCTCTGCTGTAAAATACGTCAAGTTGCCACTTTTATTTCCTGACATTGTCATTCGTTTTGACACTTTAGTTTTGTATTACGAGTTTTTGGTTTGGTTTGGGTTGATAAATAAATAGGGTTGTGATACTTTAAGCTTAAAAAATACTTACTAGCAGACTTTGCAGTGCATTGTTCTTTTTAGAACCTCTGTTAGGGCGAATTGTATAAGATAGCTTAAAAACTCATCGCAACTTTATTAGAATATTTTGAACGGGAAAGCGGTAATAATGGCCCTTTATGTCCCTTAAGTGCTATTAAGAAAGTGAGTTTTGTTGATGTAAATAAAATTACTGTTTATATATTGTAACGTTTTCTTGACACAATGCAAACGGCAGCTTTTCGTCTTTGCGACCAGTCGTAGGTTCGTTTTTTTTATTTTTTTTTTATTTGGTGTTATAATTAATCAATAAAACAATAATTATTGGGCGCCAGGACATTCACTCAGAAATAATAGATCTCTTTACAACTTAAATTTATTTATAATTAAAAAAATATTAAACAAGGACAGTAATTGATGGATGAAGTTAGGTTTTTAAAATGAATTAATACTTAAGAATAAGTAATCAAAATTTAAATGTATGACATAAAAAAAATAGTATCACTTGTTCTGTTGATTAAAAATCATTGACATATTAATATTAAATTACGCAAAATAAAGTTAAATATAAGTACCTCAAACTAACGCAGTTCATGAACCTTGTTGTATGCGCACTTAATTCCGTAAATCAATCAAAAGTTAATTAAATAAATATGTCACAAGTGACACCATCACAAAATACTTGACAAGATATTAAATTATATAAAAATTTGTATATTTAAAATTAAGAAAATTATATTTTAATAATGAAATTAAAATATGATATCTAATAATTACATAATTAATTACGTAATTCATCAACAGTAAGTAAATAGATTTGAAATGAGTTAATAAAAAAATATGAAATCTGGCCTGATTATCTGGTGCAATTCCAGGCTTTGGCTCGTCCTTCTGGATGGTGTGTGGACGTTAGGTGTGGGAGCTCATCCCCAATCTACCACAGCCTCGAACAGCCCCTTACAATACCACCAGCCATGTGGAAATCAAACATGGATCATAGATACAGGCTCTCGTACCTCAAACCACCAATCACGACATATAACTCGCCATGTCATATTACGGGCGGTAAAACCCTGGAAACGACACAACTTATGCACAAAATTCATTTTAGATATTTTAGAACTTACCTCACGATGCTGAGGGTTTACTCAAAAACTAAACTCATGACAGGACAACCAAAACCACGTTTAGAAAATCTGTAAAGAGAAGGTTGAACCAAAAGATTAAAAATATGATGAAGATCAAACTTACCACAAAAATACCCATGAAAACTTAAAATTGATTCCTTCCCCAAATGCCAGGAACCATTAGGACTACATTCCAAAGATTAATAGGGTAAAAAGGTTGAAACTTTTTCGGATGACTTCAGATAAGTATGTCGATGTTTAAGCGACGAAATCTGAATCAAAAATTGTGACTTCCGATAGTCAAAAAGATGCTCTAGTTCTGCGCCGACAAGGGTAAGTACTATCAACAGAGTATCCGAAATTAGTCAGAACTAATTCGGTAGGGTGTATGTTGGGTTGCCAATAGTATCGTTTTATTAAAACGTTACAATATTTATAATTAATTAATTTTTGTTGCCTAAAATATTTTGATTAAAAGAAAATATGTAAAAATGGGCAACGCTGTGCCGATCAAGCTTAATCACGTGACTAAAAGTTTATTTGATGTAGATGAACTGTAGATGTCATGGGAGAGTTTTCTGAGACATGTTTAATGACATAAACCGCCTGTCGATATTTTCACTGCTAACTGAGATACGGGGTCTTTTTGAATTTTCAATCATTTTGAAAATTGCCCGTAACTTTTTTATCTCGCGGAGTAATAAGATTCTATAAAAATGTTCTTAAAGCACTTCAGTTTTTTTGTATACCTACTTGCTATTTTAGTCAGAAATAGCCTTTATGTTAAAACAATGCTGGCGTTTAACCCTTTCCAACAATATAAAGCTATGAGTATCTATTTCTAAAAATGAGAGAAATTAGGTGTTTAATCTTTATATCGAAGAAGGCCTTGATTTTGTGTTGACCTATTTGCCTATATAATTATTTTTATCGCAATATCTTCTTCTTCGAGTGCCATGTCCTCAACGAACGTTGGCTATCATATTGGCTATTATAATTTTGTTGGCAGCAGCCCTAAAGAGTGCTGCACTTGATTTTTGGAACCAATCCCGCAAATTTCGAAGCCACGATGTGCGTCTACGACCAGGTCCTCTCTTACCCTCTATTTTACCTTGCATAATCAAATGGAGGACGTTGTATCGTTCAGGGTGTCGAATAACGTGCGCAAAATATTCTAACTTCCGGATCTTGATGTTTTTATTTATTTCGGGTTGTTTGGACAAGCGACTCAAAACTTCCTCATTACGAACCTTGTCAACCCAACTTATCCGCAACAATCTCCTATACACCCACATTTCAAAAGCCTGGAGTTTCTTTAGCAATGTCTCTGTGAGTGTCCAACTTTCCGCCCCATAAAGTAAAGTGGAAAATATGTAGCATCTTGTAAGTCTTAACTTTAGTTCTATGTTAATATTTCGACTACATAACACTTTCTTCATCCGATAGAATACCGATCTAGCTTTCTCTATACGTTGCTTGATTTCCTTGCTCATATCCCAATCGTTATTAATGTTAGAGCCCAAGTAGGTGATATTATCAACTTGCTCAAGGTCGACTCCATAAGCTGTTATTGGTATCGGATTTATAGGATGTTTACTAACGGTCATAAGCTTAGTCTTTTGAGTGTTAAGTTTTAACCCATACTCATCGCATGTACTTGTAACTCTATCCAACAGCAACTGCAGTTCTTCCGGACTACTGGCTAACAAAACGGTATCGTCAGCATATTTTAAGTTGTTGACATTAACTCCATTCACTTTGACACCGCCATCGATTTCCTCGAGCGCCTCCCTGAAGATGAATTCAGAGTAAAGATTAAAAAGTAGTGGCGACATAATGCATCCCTGTCGCACACCTCTACGGATTGCTATTGTTTCCGAGGTATTTTTGCCAATTTTAACACTTGCCTGCTGATTCCAATAAAGGTTTCTAATTATTTGGAGATCCTTATCATCAATGCCCACTTCCCGTAAAATCGCAACCAATTTATCATGTTTTACCCTGTCAAATGCTTTTTCGAAATCAATAAAGCACATAAAGACAGGGTGATCGACATCTCTGCATCTTTGAACAAGGACTTGGATGCAAAAAAGTGCTTCTCTAGTTCCAAGATTGTTGCGGAATCCGAACTGTGTCTCGCTAATTTGTTCCTCTATTTTGGCATATACTCTTGAATGTATAATTCGAAGGAAAATTTTTAGGACGTGGCTCATTAAACTGATAGTTCTGTAATCAGAGCACTTCCTAGAGTTTCCCTTTTTGGGGATCATTACGAATGTTGACTTGATCCAGTCAGTTGGTATAACTCCGGATTCGTATATTTTGTTAAAAAGCGATAGTAGCGACTGTTTTCCTTTAATATCGAGACATTTGAGTATTTCCGATGGTATTTCATCCGGACCCGTTGCCTTTCTATTTTTTGCTGTTTTTATAGCCTTCTCTAGTTCACCCATTGTTATCATAGGGCCTGTATTACATTGTTGTATCACATTTTCTATTCTCTCGTCATCAAACAATTCTTCGATGTACTCTTTCCATCTTCTCAGTTTATCAATGTCATTTACAATGAGATTACCATCCTTGTCAACAAGGTTATGAGTTCTGTTGGTATTCACACCCGTTAACTCTTTAACCCTCTTATGTAAGTTGAAGGTATCATGTCTCTTCTGTAACTCTTCAACCTCCTTACATTGATTCACAAACCATGCCTCTTTTGCCGCTCGTATTTTCTTCCGAATTTCTTTATTAATAAGTTGGTACTTTTGTTGGTCTTGATTTTTAAATGATCTTCTTTCCTCCATTAGGTGCAGAATATCGTCATTCATCCAATTCTGTTTCTTCTGTTGGGCTATAGGTATATTAGATGTTGTTTCTGATACTATATTTTTAACTTATTCCAGTGGTCTTCAATGTTGCAGTCAAGTATTTTTTCCTCACACTTATTTTCCAGAGTGTTCATAATTACCTCGTGATTGTCCCGTATATAGTCGACATTTAACTTTTTTGACGGTTGTTTTCTTTCGACTTTCTTTAATCTGAGCTTGAACCTCGCTACTAGGAGGACATGATCTGAAGGGACATCGGCTCCCGGAAAAGTTTTGACTGCCTGTACTGAGTTTCGGTAACGTTCATTGATGGTGATATAGTCAATCTGATTTCTGACAGGTTTCTCTGGACTATCTGATGGATGTTTCCAAGTATAGAGCCTTCTCTTCGGGAGTTCGTAGAAGGTGTTCATAATACACAAATTATTATCCCTGCAGAATTCAACAAATCGGTCTCCTCTCTCGCAATATAATATTGAATATTATTATTTAACTGCTTAATTAAAGACTTTTGAAAAGGTAAATTAACAATCTATATTAGTATTACTAATCAAAAAGCCAGGTTTACAACTTAACTATTCAATGGAGAATTTAGAGAGTATACCCTCTGTATGTCATCACCCTGAAGGTTTGGATTTTTTCTACATAACAACTGATTTTGAGTAAAAAACATATATTTGCCGACCTTAACATTTTCAAAGACGTTTTTTTTTCTGAATTTTATTTTTTAGCGAGTTTTTTCCATTTTATTTTTTAATTACAAATAGATTTGGGTTACGCTTTGATAGTTGTAGCACCTTAAAGTCCATATCGCGCAATTACTTAGTTGCAATGTTTCCAATCTTTCAGCACCGATATCGCAATTTTTTATTAGTAAATTACTAAAAAACAGCGAGAATAAAATACCTAAACCACGTGATTTTAATCAAAAACTTACGAGTTTTTAAAATTACAACACAAGATAATTAAATGATTTGTTGTTTGTTGAATTCGTTTTTTAACCGATTTTCAATGATCTAAACTAACACGTTCACTCGATAACTTTTAAACAATGAGCTACGCAAACTTAAAAAACCAATTTGGTTAGGTTTAGGTTAATATGGTTTAATCACAAAAAAAAATAGAAAAAATAGATAATACATTAAATCGAACAAAGAATATTTAGGAGATAGCATAGGTACTAATGAAAAACCTGTTGACGCATTTGAATTAAGACGCAAAGAATAAGTTCCATGTAATATGTAATGTATTTATTTATTAATATTACTTGTTTTTACTTATACTTTTTTTAACTTGATAGAGAATGACATTCTGAATAGAATGACATTATCATATTATGTCAAATTTTAACATTTCAGCTTAAAAAAATACTATTTTAAATATCAATCTAGAGTGCAGTGATTGTGTCTCTCTATTCTATTCAGGGCAACGGCCTAGCTACGTCGAAATACCGTTTCCAATTAGAACACCAAAGTTAAGCGACGTAAGGCGATACTAGTGGATGGACGGGTGACCGGTTCGAAACACTGTATCGTGCTGTTGTCGAAAAAAAAAGGCAAAAGTGTAAAATCTATTGACACACACTGCTCATTCACGCCGGTTCGAGGCCGGTTGAGATCGGATATCTCGTGAGTAAGAGTCGATTTAGACACTTGCCAAGTCGGTAGGCCATTATTGACCATGATATGGCCGAGGACCGCGGTTCGGATTCCGCGTAAACAAAGTAGGCCCCGTCCACATTAGCCCTGGCAGCAAAAAGGAGACGTTAACTGAAATCTTTACCTTTTTTTTCTCTATTCTATTTTATTGATCATATGCTACTCTATTTCTATTCTATTGAGCCAACCTCGTTCCATTTGAACAAATTGGGTTATGTTAAAAAATACGATTTGGCTTTTAATACAATAATAATTTAATTAATAATTTTTAAAGAGCCATGCTTTTAACCAGCCAGGAAAAGTCAGGAAAAACATTAGCCGATCAAATATATTTTTCCAAGGCTCCTTGATTAAAAATTAGTGGTCTTAACACAGCCGTAACACTCTAGATTGAAATTTAAAATGCTATTTATTTTTAAGCGCAAATGTCAAAAGTTGACATATGATATGCCATTCTATTCAGAAAATTATTTTCTATCAAGTAAAGTAATTCATAATACAAGCATACCGAGGGTACCGTTTAAAAATCAAAAGTTCTAGTAATTTCCGGTGAAACAGGAAGTGACAAAAATTAATTAAATACGGCAACCAATCCTGATTTATGTGATATTACTAACATACTGAATCCCGTTTTTTTAACTCAAAAAATATAAAAATAAGTTATAAGAGTGAGCCACTTTTGAAAAACACACGGTATATAAAATTATGGAATCACGAAAATAAAATATTAGCTCCTGTTGGCCCCTCCTAAATTTATTTCTCATTCACATTTTTTTTTAAATAACTAACTAAAATTAATTGACATTTAATCTAAAAAAGGTTGTCTAGTGCGTTTTGAAATGTATATAAAAATATTTTATCACAAACTAGATAGATAGCTGAATTGATAATGATTCCCAAAAAATGACATCATTTAATTTACATTTTATATTATTTCTATTGTCTGTTTATCATCCGAAATCACGATTATATTTAATGTATGTAAATAGCAGTTTTAATAGAATGCTTATAACAAATATCCTTAAAGACATAATTTCTTGGAAGCTGAGATTTTTTTTAATTACTATCTGATCAGAAAATAATAGAGGAAATTAATAAAGAAAAATATATATGGTTAATATTATATACTCGTAGTGTTGATAATTATATCAACAACTGCCAGTCTACTAAATTTTAAGTAGAAAAAATGTCCCAACCTATACATTTTAGGGTTTTTATATTATATCGCACTTCTCATTCAAAACTGCAAAAATAAAAAACAAATCATGCAAAGCAAAAGAAAATTTAAGTTGATAGAACCAACCAAGTTAAGGTCAATATGTTGCGCCTTTTGTATATTAATGGTCAAATAATGTTGTAGTGGAGTTTTTTTAGAATTTTACTGGCATTCTTCTGGGGCATAAATCAGATTAAAATAGCATTGTTTTTGAAATAATCTCAAAAACAATTTTATATTAATCTGTGGCATATTTTTTGTAATGGTTTAAAACAAGCTACACACGTCCAACTTTATTGGCTCAATAACAGTCAGGCCAACGAAATTGGATATTGCATCCACATTTTCCGATTTCAAAATAAATCTCTCTGTAATCAGTTGAATTTCGCTTCTGTAAGTACCCACGGCTACTATTTCATCAAAAATAAAAAAATGGTCTTGCCCTGGCATTACAGTTACCTATCATTATAACGAGAAAAAAAATAAGATTATGGGCTAAAAAGTGGCTTAAGAAGCAAAAAATTAATACTATGATTTTGCTAATGAACACTGAAGATTGCCGCAATTATTAGCACATTTGCTAAAAATGTTCATTAACAATAACAGTTTCAATAAACAATTATTAAGTTTGGTCATGCCTTTAATTACAAGAAAATACACTGAATGAAGAATGGTCGATATAACTTTCGGTTGGTCGACCAGTATAACTTTCTCACCCAGCTCAAACAATTAGAGGATTCAGCAGTCAATCCGCCGTGTAAGTCAGTCAACAAACGCATTGAGATAATGAGGTTTAAAAAGCAGCATTTAAAAAAAATAAATTTATACAAATTAACTTTATTTTTTTTAAATTCTGCTTTTTAAACCTCATTATCTAAATGCAATTGTTGATTGACTTATATTGGTTGACTTCTGAACCCTACAATTAATTATCGGATGACAAACCTAGAAACTACAGATCGAACTGTACTAACGTAACTATAGTAGTATGTAGCATTCAACATTCTAGTATGTAGCAGTTTTAGGTGTAACCGTTTTTCAAATATTTTCAAGTTTATGTCAGACATGACATTTGCAGAGCAGAAGCAAGTTATGCATTTTCAGCATTCATGATTTTTTAATACCTTCTATTATGGATAATTATGACTTGTTATTACACATGTGTCTATAGGCAATATAGTCCCTGTTGAACAGTTGTGTCACAGTTGTAAATTCAAATACGTTTTAAGTCGTAAAAGGCATTTGAGTAAATTGTATTTTCTGTCATTTTTTCAATGTCGTCTGTCGAAATCTGCCCGGAGTCGTTGGACAGACTCTAGTATTTTAGCAATAAGAAAAAGTTAGCTAGCAAATGTTTAAAAAACTCTTGTGGATCTAAGTATATATAGTTATATACAAATATTTAAAAGACTGTAATATTTAATCAACTGCAATAAAAATTTAAGTAGAGCAAACAAAACCTTTTCCATAAGACAAGCAACGTGAATTTATAAGTAATGCATCAATGTGGAAAAATGTATGTTACCTTTGCTCTACAAATGTCATTTTTGATATAAGATTGAAGTTTTTCAAAATCATGTATATAGGTAATCAGGTATAGGTATACAGTATGTCCCCGGATTATATTTACAAGAGGAAAAACTTTTATATTATTAAAATTTTGAGAAAAATGCATTCTTCATAAAAATGTTTGCTTGTTTAAAATGGTTAATCCCGTTTATGCTTTTCCAAATTTCCATTATACGTTCCATTATACATATTTCGAAAAACAACAAAAAATATTACGTTTATTAAAATTCTATGAATAACAATCAGTCAAAGAATGGAAACGAAGTTATATTACCATAGAAACGGGTTCCACAATACTTTCATGTTTTTCTTAATTTTCTCTAAAACGGTATAGAAATTTGTAAACGTATAAACGGGATTAACCATTTTAGAACAAGCAAAAATTTTAATAAAGAATGCATTTTGAAATCCACAAAATATTCAATAAACATTTTGTGTTCTAATTTTCTATATCTATTCTATTTATTCAGTTTCTATATTCTATTCTACAGTATGTCCCTATATTTCTATTCTACAGTATGTGTTCAAAATATAGAAGATAGGTGATTCTTAAAATAAACAAATTGGTAATCACTTGGTTAAATTGTTTAAAAATACAATACATTTCGAAATATCATTAACCTTAAATATTCATATTTTACGTAAATTAAATCATAAAAAACATTAGTGATTGGAATTTGTGTAGGTTCCCTAGGTTCTTGTGACAATACAGGTGAACGAATTTCTTATTGCTAGATAGACCCATTTAAATAAAAAAAGGTGGATAAATCATTATTTATATGAAGCTAGTAATAATAGATAGTATGTTGTGTCAAAGCTTGAGAAGATCACAATCCTAGCAATGCTAGATGCATTTAGCCTCTACCAGTAGGTAACTGTCTATCCAATAGACACGAAATTACAAAAAAAATAGAAAAAAAAACATTTTTTCATGATTCTCTGATTTTCTATTAATTTTAATATTAGTTTGATTGCTTTGAATATACCTAGGAAGGAACCTTGTAATGTTAGAAGTTTTTATACTGTCTACATTATAACATTATTTATTATATATTAAAAAGTTGGCAAAATAAAACACTAATTCACCACAATACACCAAAACATATTACTTAGAAACACTGGACGCGCATTTCGCTAACCATGTTAGCATCATCAACAGATGATTAAAACTGAATCATATGCTAATGATTCTAACATGATTATCGAAACCCGTATCTAGTGTTTAAAACAAAAGTGTTGGTTCTATTGTGGTGAATTAGTGTTTTATCATGCTGTTGTAACTAAGGTTCCAATCTCCAAATGTAATATAAAAAGTTAGTTATCCAACATTTTTTTTTAAATATTAGTTTGGCCTCTGGAATTCATATAAGCTTTGTATTAAAGAAAATAAATCTCACATTCGTTCGCCTGTATATATGTCACCAGACCAACTGTGTATTTTTACCAAATAGTTTCCTAAAGCCCATTCTAACGTAAAGAGTATTTAAACACTTACCATGGCATTATTAGCAGCAGGAGTAACCACCACAAAACAACTGAAAAACACCACGAAAACCGAAGCTAAGCCGACCGTTTTCTCCATCGTTACGACTAATTACGATTGCCGAAAATTAATTCCTCGAGTATAATTCTAATCTTATCTATCTGTCTTATCGGAACAGGCAGTGATAAAATTCAAAACTCCCGCCGTATACGTGCGCGCCCCTAAAACCGTGACGATCGTCCTGCTGGGGTTCGCTCGCTCTCTCTTTCTCTCTCTGCCGGCAGTAGAAGGAAGATAGATGGATAGAGAGAGGGTGGAAGCTAAGTGCAGCAGGCTGGCAGGACCGACCGTGGCTATAGCGCGACTCGCTGTCGACTGAAACGCGCATCTACAGCAGGAGCTGTTTATATCGGTTCGATCGGTGTATGGCGACCTACCGCAAGAATTGGCAGGATGAACAGCGGAAACGAAGAAGACAGCGCGTTATAGGGAGCTTTCTTTGAGACACGAATAATTGAGGCTTTATTCGGTGCGAGTGTTTTTGAATTTGAGGCAATAAAGATATATAAAGCTTCGATTTTATATCTTCCGTTAAAACGTACTATAAACGCACAGTTTAAAACTGTAGACTTTAAAAAACATAAAAATCGACTTCTACAGTATGATATTACTATTACTTCTACAGTATGATATTTATTATTATCGACATTTTGAGAAAAATGCATACTTCCTTAAAAAATTTTGCTTGTCCTAAAATGGTTAATCCCGTTTATATTCTTTTCAAATTTTAGTACCGTTTTAGAGAAAATTAAAAAAACATGAAAATATTATTGAATTTTTTCTAAAAGTCCCAAAAAGTCATAAAAATCAAAAGGCGTTTCTACGGTAATATCATTTCGATTTCTTTCTTTGACAGACTGTTATTGTTAATTTTGATTAACGTCATATTTTTTGCTGTTTTTAAAGTATCATATTTTCCGATAACTATTATCACCCTTTCTGTAGCATTGACCTAAAAAAAATTTATGCTTCTTTAACATTTTTAAACCAGCAAAAAATATGATGTTAATTAAAATTCTATCAATAACAATCTGTCAAAGAATGAAATCGAAATGATATTACCATAGAAAGGCCTTTTGATTTTGAGGACTTAATTAAATATTATTTTCATGTTTTTTTTTTAATTTTCTACGGTATAAAAACGGTATGAAAATTTGTAAAAATATAAACGGAATTAACCATTTTAGAACAAAATTTGGATTGTTTTTATGAATAATGCATTTTTTCTGAAAATATAAATAAGTGTTTCCTCTTGTAAAGACAATCCGGGGACACAATCTATAGAACTTTTACGCGGAATACATTGATTAGATATATATATATATATATATATATATATATATATATATATATATATATATATATATATATATATATATATATATATATATATATATATATATATATATATATATATATATATATATATATATATATATATATATATATATATATATATATATATATATATATATATATATATATATATATATATATATATATATATATATATATATATATATTTTTTTTTTTTTTTTCTTTCTACGACAACAACGAATATATTGGGCTTCCTCGCACTAATAGGCCACCCAGTAGGACGGTTTTTATACGGAAACTATAAGACGAACAAAAGAATTCGAACTTCCATTAGCCATAGCCCTTATAGACTTTGAGAAGGCTTTCGACTCAATTTATCCTAAGGCAATAATAGAAGCCCTATCGAAACAAGGTATTGTCAGGCCTAATATAGAAAGAAGACAAAGCAAGAGTATAATGATATATAAAACAACCCCAGAGTTCCCAACAGGCTAAGGAGTGCGACAAAGAGACGCAATATCTCTAAAGCTGTTTACAGCAACACTAGAAGAAATGTTCCGTCAGCTGGACTGAACTAACAAAGGATTAAAAATAGATGGATTAACCATCTAAGAATCAGTAACCATCAGTTCGAAGTTGGTCAAAGAATGCCTAGAGAAGCTCAACAAATTAGGCAAAGAAAACAAAGTCATCCTACACTGGGTGCCTGCTCACTAAGGGATAGAATGCAATGAAAAAGCAAATAATCTAGCTAGAAAAGGAGCGAACACTCCACTACCTGGAATTAAAACCGTTCTGTTTTCCAAGCGGGAATCAACTGAAAGTGGAACTAAAGAACCTGGAAGACTTCATCCGGTACCTGGAATGGGTGTCCTCCAACAGTCTAAGACACTCGAAAAAGTTCCTCAGAATTTACGATCGAGAAAAATCAAAGATTTTCCTTGATTTAAGTAAAAACAATCTTCGCAATGTCACGGGGTTTCTATCAGGACACTGTCTCCTCAACGCCTAAGAATCGCTGATGACATAGCCCTAATTGCCAATAGTCCTGAACAACTACAAATTAACGAACTAAATACTGTCAGCAATAAAGTAGATTTCAAAATGAATTAAGCAAAAACTGACGTAACGTACAACGAACTAGTAGACAGAAAAGACATTCCATTAAATAACACTGAAAATAGTAGAAAAATATATATATTTGTGACAACTAATACACAGCTCGGGATGTCTACTACCAGAAATCAACAGAAGAATTAAGTTAGCATGGAGTACTTGTAGAAGAAACTCAATCATATTCAAATCTAGAATGTCACTTTATCTAACGAAGAAAACATTCGACCAATGTGTACTACCAGTCGTGACCTATGATGGACCTATGTATGCGAAACCTGGACACTTAAAACGGACATAATAAAGAAACTAAAGATCGCACAACGCTCAATGCTCAATGGAACAAAATATGCTGAAACTGGAAATAAACAAGAAAGTCCGTAAAAGAATGAGCGGATACGACAAAAGACTCAGATCATCCACGGGTTCAAATCCTTCTAGTGGCAATGAGCAGGACACCTGGCAAGAAGGACAGGCAACATATGGACTTCAAAAGTTACAGCAGGGTGCCCACAAGGAATTAATAGATCTAGACGAAGACCAAAAACCATCTGTGGATCGTCTTTAGAAGAGGAAAAACTTTTTTATTACAACATTTTGCGAAAAATGCATTCACTATAAAAAAACATCTTGTTCTGTAAAAGTTTATACCGTTTTTACATTTCTAAATTTTCATACCATTAGGGAAATTAAAACAACTTTGGGTACACGTCATCAATGACACCATGCGTCGTCTTATGGAGTTTGCTGGTGGTCGTATTATGATGTGCAACCAAAGTTATTTTAATTTCTCTTATAATTGAATTTGTCCGTCTTAAAAATCAAAACGCATTTTCATGGCAATATTATTTTGTTTTAGTTCTTTGATATATGGTTATTATAAATTTTGATTCACGATATATTTTTTGCTGCTGTTGCAAAGCATCACCCTTTCCGATAGCTAGTATCACGCCCGTAACATTGAACAATAAATTTTGTGCTTGTTTAACATTTTAATACAGCAAAAAATCTGACATCAATTATTATTATTATTAATAATAACCATATATCAAAGAATGAAAACGTGTTTTTAGGAAACCTTATTAGAAAATTTCAACAGTATTTTCATATTTTTTTTAATTTTTCTCTAAACGGTATGGAAATTTGGAAAAGTATAAAGGTTGATTCTCATTATACCTTCCAGATCAGCTCCCTTCTGTTTATATAAAATATTATATCATGTAAATGAATAGGACAATGCAAACTATCCGTTCCGTTTCCCTTCCGTTCCATATCCTTTCCTTCTTCCGTTCCATATCCTTTCCTAAAATGTTAATTATTAACAAGTTTCTGCTCTCTTGTAAAGGCAACCCCAGGTTTAGTCCTATGGGTATAGACATTTTTTTAAATATCTTGTTTCAGGGTGAGATCTCTAAATTAAAAAAAAACAAAATGGCGGCACTTTCGGAAAAACCGGAAATTGACAGAAACTTTTCTATTTTAAACTGATACCCCACCATTTTTTCTCGATATATTTAAATTCTCTATAAAACGGCATATTTAAAACGTTTATTGATCGTTTGCATCCGATCATACATTATGTTTAGTCTGTTCTATGACTACAATATTTCTCCATAATTTATATGCCTAGATATTTAAAATTATAGTACTATATCAAACCGATGCACGAATAAAGTTAAAATTAGAAAACAAAGGCAATTGCGTGGTAAAAAATAATGTGATTTATTAATTTACTCAAAACGACGAAACATTTTCAATAGGAAATTGGATAATTACCTACAATGAGTACTTGCCAATTCCTAGATTTCAAACAATATTCGATATATCAAAATATTAGATTAGTAGAAAATCAAATCGATGTAGAGGACCACCAAATTACTGCGTATAAAAATGCAAATAACGATAACGTTGCTAATTAGTTTCAAATTAAATTTCTATGAAATTTTATATAGCGTATTTTTCAGGTTTTTATTGTAGAGATAGAGAGATAAAAAATACAGTATTTATTGTGAGCAGTATAAAGTTGCATATACAGGGTGCTACAAATTCGAGGTACGAGCATTGGTATCTCGGAAACCGTAATAGATACGAAGATAGTTAAATTGGGGCAAAGTTGCGCTTTAGGATGTTCATCAAGATATCATCAAAAAGTTTTGAAAATTTCAAGGATTGCTGAGTTTTTTGAAAATCATTTTATTTTTTCTTGTCGTTAATTTTTGGAAAATCAAAAAACTAATTGCACATTTTTAAAGCCACTTTATTAAGGCTATCAAACAGTATTTTTAGATTTTCACGTTAGCTGCTAATTTGTGAGATACAGAAGCCAACTTAATTTTTTTAAATACGGACCTGCTTTTTTTATTTGAAGTTTTGAAAAAACTCGGTCTCGTGAGTGCAATGATATGCCACACTTGATACTTTTTTTTGCTTTGGGTACCTTAATTGTAAAAAAACTATTTAATTATTATTTAAAATAATTTCCACTCCGACTCCGGTTTTTTAAATTATTTTTAATCTGATTATATTCATCGCAACAATAATTATCAGCGTTAATTAACATTGCAAAAGAAAAATCGAGACAATTGAAAGATGCAAATAAATAATATCCATGTCAGAAATTTAAAGATATTATTTTTAACTTTTTTTTATTTTGAATTTGAAATCTCAGTGTACGATTTAATAATGCATAATATTAATCGTAGTTATTATAAATAAATCAACTTCTACAAACTAGTTTCTAATGCTCCACATGTTCGAAAGGGTTACCACCCTCCCTAATGCACAAATTTATTTTTCGCGTGCAATCTTATTTATAGTTCTTTGAACATATCTTCTTCTTATACTTCCGAATATATTTTGTACTCTTTATTGTAAATGTTGAAATGTATTGATGTCAC